ATGAGGCTGTGCAGCTCCATCCATGGCCAAGATTCTCTGTAAAAAAAAAGAGAACATATTACTGTACTACAGTGCTACACATACAGAACCCCACCCATCACACAGGTACCTGTGTAGCTCTCAGAATGGATCCATGTGGTACTGATATGGTACATATTCAGCTGCTACTGGATTTCACCAATACTGTATTGTACATGTAAAGGACAGTTACACTTACCCGTACATATTCAGCTCGAAGTCCTTTGACCCTGTCACTGTTCCTCTCAAATGGGACTCTGTAGAGCTGCTTCATGGTGATGCTGTGTTTTCTCAAGATGCGTGTGATAGAATAGAATAGAATTCAACTTTACTGTCATTGCACATGCACAGGTACAGGGCAACGAAATGCAGTGGTGGTGGTGATGCTCACATGGTTTATGTTGTTGAACACTTGCCTGTCTGCAAGTATTTGCTTTCGTAGCTGGTGGAGACGGATGGCATTGTCTGCCCTCACTAGGTCCTCAACAGCAAGTTCCTGCTGTTGTGTGAACAGGCGTTGGCGTCCTCCCCCAGAAGGTCTTCGAGTCATTCTAGAGGAATACAACCACATATTGTCATCGCTTTGCTTATTTTTCTTACAGTACTTTACTGTATATACTGTATCATCCACTGTACAACACTGTACTTCAATATAAGTAATCATGGTATGTTTCACAGAAACTACCACTTTGGCTGCAAAAGGAGCATTAGCACCCTGCAATACCCTGTACACTTGATATGGTAATGTGATATACTGTAGAGTAGAGTAGAAGGTAGAGAGGTGAAGACAGACCTGTTTTCTAGTCGGAATGTTCTTATTACAGATGCCACTGTGAAGCGGCTTAGATGTGGGTGGACTCTCTGCCCAGCTTCCCTCATAGTCAGGCCCTGGTTGATGACACCAAAGTTGCTCTTATATCATCAGAAATATGGGTCTGTGCATGGCCTCTTCGACCTCCTCCTCCTCTTTCCTCTTGCTCTCCCTCCATCCATGCTTGCAAAGTTCTTGAAATGGCTAAACTGAGGGCTTTTTGTAGTTGGCTAATTGGTGTTCAGTTTTGCAAGTAAGTGCCTTCAGGTGTAGTATTTGAGTGGTTGCAATTACCCGATGTGTTTTGTATTTTGGATACATGTGTTTTCCAAATGGCACCCTGAAATTTCATTTTGTGAACGAAAGTGTCTTATGTATGAAATAGAGTGTAGTATGCAGGACCATGTGTGTTGCATAAAGGAGTAAGTGTGTTGCATAATTGCAACTAGGGTGCAAAGCAGCGCTTTTGTTTAAGGTATGGGTACATGTGTTTGAGGTATGGTAACAAAAGCTTCAAGTTGTGTTACTTTAGTCTAAGCATGGGTTTATAGTGTTCAAGCAACGGGCAAAAACTGTAAGTACTCATTGTCTTACTTTATTATTATCTGTTTTTTTCTTTACCTAATCTAAATTATCCATCTTTAAATGTTGACTTTAATGAGGCTGACCAACTGTCTTTAATGACATGTGATAACAGAAAAAAAACATGTCAAATACTGTAATTTTCTTTCTTTTTACAATAAGAATTTCTAGCTTTTTCCATATATTTAAAAAAATAATTTCAGGAATACTGCAAATAAACAAAGCTTCACAGCTGGCAAGTTCAGCATATTGAATTCTTTTTTAAATACTCCTGTGCGTGACTGAATATCACTGTATTCTCTGTATACAGTTTTTGCCCGTTGCCTGAACACATTTTGCAAAACTTTGCTCATTGTGCCAAAACCCTAAACACAAGTAAACATGACACAACACTGGGAAATATACCATTCACATCTGCACCAAATTGAAACTCTACTCTCAAAACCTAAACTCTGCTATCAAAACCTAACATTCCTTTGTCAAAATGTAACTCTGTTGACAAAATGACACATACTTGCATCATATGCAAACACTTACAGAGCAGGGGGAACACACTAGTCTACTTTATATAAAGCACTGCAGTCTTTGATTTCCATTGTTCATTCAGAAGGCATATTTTCAGGAGACACATTTGCAAACAACCAAAAAAGCAAATAGGCCTACTCAATATTGTACATTGCAGCTTACGCAGTCCATGAATTCAGATAAAGCAAAAAAAAAAAAAAAAAAAAAAACCCATAATACAGTAATAGAAAAAACACTATACTGTAAACAAAAAATCATGACAATTGTGCATACGTGGGCTCATGGATCCCGCCGTCTGTTGGGGTCTGGCCACAGGACCTCATCAACATCGCAAGCAATGTCTTCTCCCGCTAGGCACCGTGCAATACCCTGTACACTTGATATGGTAACTGTAGAACAGTACTATAAAAACCATCTGAGTAGAGTAGAAGGCAGTGAGATGAAGACAGACCTGTTTTCTAGTCGGAATTTTCTTATTACAGATGCCACTGTGAAGCGGCTTAGATGTGGGTGGACTCTCTGCCCAGCTTCCCTCATAGTCAGGCCGTGGTTGATGACATGGTCCACCAAAGTTGCTCTTATATCATCAGAAATATGGGTCCGTGCATGGCCTCTTTGACCTCCTCCTCCTCTTCCTCTTGCTCTCCCTCCATCCATGCTTGCAAAGTTCTTGAAATGGCTAAACTGAGGGCTTTTTGTGGTTGGCTAATTGGTGTTCAGTTTTGCAAGTAAGTGCGCTCAGGTGACATTATTGAGTGGTTGCACTGCGATGCACTGGGATCGTGTCATGTGGATGGGTGTGGTGGAGAGGTACGGTGTGGAATGTGTGACCAGAGTGATGGTTTTTGTCAGTAGGATTGGAGTATGTGTTCGGCAGTTACATATGTTGTGTTTTCAAGGATGGAGATGCATCCGGCGGTCGGGCTGAGAAATTTCCATTTTTGAACGAAGTGTCTCTGTTATTGGGAAATAGAGTGTAGTATGCAGGACCATGTGTGTTGCATAAAGGAGTAAGTGTGTTGCATAATTGCAACCAGAGTGCAAAGCAGCACTTTTGTTTAAGGTATGGGTACATGTGTTTGAGGTATGGTAACAAAAGCTTCAAGTTGTGTTACTTTAGTCTAAGCATGGGTTTATAGTGTTCAGGCAACGGGCAAAAACTGTAACTGTATAGAAATAATACTTGAATAATGAAAACGAGAGATGAATTTCTGCAGTTTACATGCATTTACACTGGAGGCAAAGTGTAAATGCATGTGCACTGGATGCTTTACCATTATTTCCTGGGTGCTTGTTTTGAATAACATATCTATTAAGATCTCTGAATCTATGCTATGCATGAAGTTAATTATTATACCTGACAGGTCACAAAAATGCTGTTGTTGTTGTTGTTGTCATATCATTAAAAATATTTACTGCTTTTCCCAAAGAGAATAAAATAAGAGCAAATATTTTGCCACTTGGTTAAAAGATTGTGGTCTGATTGAATACACAATAACTCATGTGGTGTGCTCCCCACCAGCCCGAGGCACTCATAGCATAGAGTACAGCCAGTGTTTGTGTGTCAACACAATCAAATTAGGAAATCAATGTAGTAATATACGAACATACGAACAACGGTCTGGATGACCAGCATTACCATACCCATATGGAAGAACAAAGGGGATGTAGCCGAATGCTCAAATTACTGTCCCATCCGCCTACTATGTCACACGACAAAAATATTCGAAAGAGTCATCGATGCACGTCTTCGGGAAATTGTCAACGTCACCCCCAACCAATGCGGTTTTGTAAAGGGATGTGGAACAACTGACGCCATACACGCCGCCCGACTCCTGCTGGAGAAGCACAGGGGAAAAGAACAAGACGGTACATATTGCCTTCCTAGACCTTGAAAAGGCTTTCGACAGGGTACCCCATGACCTCATATGGCACTCCCTAAGATCGCATGGTGTCCCTGAGGCGTACATCAAATGGATACAGCTCCTCTACGACAACGCCACCAGTTCAGTCCGATGCACCGCTGGACTATCACCTCCCTTCCCAGTTAGAGTTGGGGTCCACCAAGGGTCAGCTCTGTCACCCCTCCTCTTCATTCTATGTATGGATACCATCACGGCCGAGCTCCAGTTACCTCGTCCATGGTCTCTCCTCTTTGCCGATGACGTATTCCTCACCAGCAAAGACAGAGAAGAGACCCAAACGACGACACAACTCTGGAAGACCCGGCTCGATGAATACGGTATGCGGCTCAATACGAAAAAGACCGAATACCTGGAAGGAGGCCCCCAAACTGATGGCACCATCATAACTGACAGCGAAGAGTTGAAGAAGACCGCTACTTGGGCTCAGTCATCAGCTACGATGGAAATATAACCTCCGATGTCCGAGCACGAATAAATGCAGCCTGGTTAAAATGGCGACAGGTCACTGGTGTCCTTTGCAACAGAAGAATGCCAGATCGACTCAAGGGAAAAATCTACAAAGCGGTGGCCCGCCCAGTAGCCCTGTATGGTTCCGCATGTTGGCCCGCATTGACCACACATGAACAGGCCCTAAACACCATGGAGATGCGTATGCTCCGATGGAGCTTCGGAATTACAAGACGGGACCGTGTTACGAACAAAGACATACGGAAGCGACTAGGTGTAGCCCCAATTAAGGAAAAGATGTTTGAGTCCCGCCTGAGGTGGTATGGACACGTGATTCGAAGCGATGAGAACTCTGTAGCAAAAACGGCAATGATGATCGACCCAGAAAGATGCCGGCCTCGAGGCAGACCGAAGAAACGGTGGATGGACAAAATTAAGGAGGACGCCTTGGACAGAACCAAATGGAGAAACCTTTGCCGAAGAGCGGACCCTGCACCAGCGGGAACAACGCCAGGATGAAGAATATACGAACATATTGCCTAGAGACAGGCTTGCACCTTGAGTCAAGTGTGGGACATTGACTTTTGACTTAAGGCACAAAACCCATGAATTAAAACAAACTCTTATGATGAATCTCTTAAAAGCAATGAGTTAATAAAGAAAGTGTTCTTCATTTTCCTGAATACAATATATTAAAAGTGATGCAAATTTTTATTAAGAAAATACAGCACATGTTTTACAGAAGTATTGCACCCTCCCAGCATTCGGCAAAACCTGTCTGACACAGGATGTGCTCCATCATATCTTATCTTGGACACCTGTAGCATTTGCAATGTTTATTCTGTAACTTACCCGTCAACATTCATGTGGCTTTGGCAGTAGTAACAGCACCTTGGTATGTGTATGCACTTGCAGCAATACATTTTATACTTTTGTGACATTTTGAAACAACAAAAAGGTACGCATCCCCAAACACATTCTGACAGTGAATTTGTTAGGAAGTTCAAGTAGAAGAAAGACACAAAAGCAGCTTGACAATTGTATTTCCAGATTGCCAATATATGGCATCCATCAGTGCACCTATAAACCAGTAAAGACGTAAACTCTGTTTGCCAAAACATTTTCTTAACGCAGCAAAGTGCAAAGCTACATGTATAAACATTACCAATCACATGTGCATTAGTAGTTATTGACCTGTGAAGAGTGTGCGTAATGCTAAGACACGTCGCTACTTGTTCTTGTGTATAAAATTTCCCACTCTTTGAAAGAATTTCTCCAGCTTGTTTTCATGATGTCCACGGGCAGCCTGAGTGCTGTTGAGTTCAATAGCTGCCTCGCCTTTTGGAAGGCTTTTGGACTTCTCCTGGGACGGTTTGATTCTGAAGCTGTGTGGAGTGCGTAGAGAGGTTTTCTTTTCCGATGAGCCGAAAGGCTCAAATCTGCTCGACAGGCGATTCTCACCTCCTCGGTCTTTGCTCCAGCTGCTTGAGTGAAATCCAGGCCTTGTGTTTTTGTCAAAAATGCTGGGTTTCTTCTGTGTGGTGGTTTTGGAGAGAGCGCTCTGCGGAGGTTGTTGTTCTTTCTCAGCTTGGAATCGCGATTTTAAAGATTTTATGCCCTCCACGTTGTTCCTCTGGCGCTCTGAGAAGTAACTGAGAGAAATGCTTCTGCTTGGGAGATGTTTTTGTTCTATAACTGATGTTTTCTCCTCATCCTCAGCAGTCAGAGTGTCTGAGCTGTCCGCTGACGTGAGACTTGGTGTTTTTGAGTTCCTAATTGAATTCTCTTTTTTCTCTTGTATGTTCAGCAAAGATGTGATTTTCTTAGCGCCCGTGCGGTTAGATTTATCAGTCAAATCCTTGCTTTTCACATCCAGGGCTACTGCTGACAAAGCCCGGGCCGGTGGCTCCTGCCAAATGGGGCCACTGGGACTCTTTGTGCTTGTCATGCTCTTGACATCATAATGGGAGACAGATCTCTGATCTTCATTTAGGTTTGACCCATGTCCTCCATTCAGTGCAGTCATTGCTGCTTCACTTTGGCCTTCTTGCATCCTTACAAAAGCATTGTACATGTGATTTGATGGTTCGTGTGTGCTTGATCTCGGATCTGCCACACTGTGCCTTTTGACCCAGTTGTCACTGAAAATGTTAGGGTTTGTGATTATTTGCCTGTCTTTAGCTCGGCTCAGGTTGGCATATGAATGATAAGGGTTTCTACCTGTATCATAGCCTGCTCCTGTTGGAGTCCATTGCATGGATGAGTAGTGTAAATGACTGTTTTTTGTGGGGCTAAGACTACTAGAAGTATGTAGATATCTGTTTGCCTCCATTTGTTCTTGTACGGTTGGCCTGAGAGCAAGAGAGGACCTCATCCCTCCCTGCATGAACAGGCTAGCTTTGTCCAGTTGTTCAAACTGGTCTAAATAGTCACAAGAGTCCCCAAATGGGACATCAGGATTATTAAGATATGACTCGATCCTCAATGTACGCATATAGGACTTGGACATATTCTCCAATGTTGGCATGTTCTGCTGCTTGGATAGAACTCGTTTGTCATTTCCGTTGTAAGACTGCAAATTGTGACTTCTGTGTATCTGTGGCACTTGTAAATAATTATTCATAGCATAGTTGTTTGCTCCATCTCTAGAGATATTCCAGTTGCTCCCTCTAGGCTTGATGTTCTGTGGGATGGATTCGTGTCCATCTTGCCTCTCTCCAGCATAGCTGTGCCTTTTGAAGAAGTTCATCTCCTCCACTGATTGAAATTCCTGAACACCAATGCCATTTTCCATCAAGGGTCTAAGTTTGTAATCTTCCTCTTCAAACAGCCTCTCTTCATAATCTCTTTGACCGAGGTTCCTCTCACGAGTCTTCCGATAGACTGTGTCCAGACTTTGCCTCAACATGTCCCTCCGCTGAAGATTTGGAGCAGAATGACAGTTTGGTAAAATCTGTTGCCCAAGTGACCCGTTTCGTTGGAGCAAATCCTCTGGAGGACACAGTTCAGGTGGCACGATCGATCGGGCATAGAGGGTTCGAAACTCCTCATCGTAGGACTTCACCAGATGTCCTGTGATGATCTGAACCATGCTCAGATTGATCTTCTCAAATGACCAGGTGAAACTGTAAACAAACAGGAAAATACTTGTATAAAAACTGTATTTTGATTTGTTTCCCTTGGTTTTCAGCTTAGATTTGTTATCCTCAAATAGTTGTTAGTCTCAAACTGAAAGGCTTTCACTTTAAATGAAAACCTTTCACTTAAAGGTTTGCACTTACAGACTCTAAGTACACTAGTAAAATACGTTTACAACACCTGGAATACTGAAACTTTTTTTTCCACTATAAGTGCAGTCACATTTTCTACAAGCTTTTCACATTAATAAACAGCAAAAAGCTGAAACAAATAATAAATACTAACTGTGACAGAAATTTTGTAAAGAGCCAGAACAAATATAGTGCTGAAAGCTTTTTGTGTGCACCTCAGTGGTCTCAACCACAGCTCCGGTTGTATTGCAATTTTGTTTACCTGTATGAGCCGTAAATTGCTGTGTGACAGTCAGCTAAAAGAAACTTCTGCTCCATTGCACCATGAAATTTAGCTCCTAATCGACAGCGGTAATCCTGACCTTTCACGGTGCGCACCCTCATGTTCTGCAATCAGAGCAATGAAAGGAGAGTGTCAGAACATATGTATGACTGTCACATTTTACAAGTGGTAATAATATGTCAAAGAGGAAATTAATATGTGATACAGGCATGCATATTGTACAGAATCATTCCGATTATTTGTTGAATCGTCGAGTTGTTGTTGTTGCTGTTGGCATGTAATTTCTATTTAAAAGGAACTTTGTAGGTGTGTTTGAGTCGTTGTAATCTCTCTCCAGTAATTACAACTCCACCCAAAAACAGGATTAACCAGATTTACTAATAATTTAACGCTTTAAAGTTAAGGTTTATTTTTTTTAAAAAAGGTCATTTGTTACTTTGCATATGGCAATAAACACAATTTTTTGAAAACTATCTTCTTAATTACTGTGAACTTTAAAAAACATTTTAAGCCTGGGAAGATAATATTTACATGTAAGAATGCATGCACAGCCAAAACATCAAATAAATCCATTCCATCCTAAACTTACTCTCAGTTGTTGGAGTTTCACATCTTGGTTTTCAGCCATTGTCAGGAAACTTTTCAAATGGTAATCATCCAAAAGCACATAAACCGGGACTCCCCGTATTGAAGCGTCGACGGCTTCTTTGAATATATCCACATCAGTAAACACGTCCATTACAATGGCAATGACCTGCAAGGACAAATCAACAGTGAATAGTAAATCAATCTGACATCTGCAAGCTCATAAATGGTAAATTGCCTTAAATGAGACTCTGAAAAATCACTTATGAAGAAAGTCTCCAACATGATTCCATGCTGAAGAAAAAGGGACACGATAAACGGCTACATGTGCTTATCTATAATCAATACATTTAAATGTTTGGAGCACTCAAAGCACTTTTTACCACAAGTCTTGTTTACCCAATCACATGCACATTCACACAGGCACTTTTTCTATACCTAAGCACTTTGTCTAACAGGCATGCACACACTCACACTCCAATGGATGCATCAGGGGCAACTTGGGATTCAGTATCTCCTGAGCCACAGCCATCCATTGATCTCAAATCCATTTCAGTCACTCCTGGAACATTTTTGTGAGTGGGACCAAACTAGAGCCCTTTTGCTTCGTTCTTTGATTTCACTTCAGGTTCAGTAAGTGTACATAAAAGGTTCCTAATGATAATGCAGACGGTGAAAATCCTGGACGCTTTGAAAATAGCACTATCACACTGTGTTACTTCAGGATGTAATGAACCTATGTGTGACTTTACTGAGTGTTACTCATACATATTGTGCCTGGACTGTGTGTGATCTCCAATGCACTTTCATATATGCACTATTTAAAAATTAAAAGTTGCTGTCTGGACAGGCTTGAGACAGTGCAGCTGCTCTGTTTCATTAAAGATTTATTCCAGTTCCGTTTTCTTTACACTTCACTAGCATGAGAACTGAGGGGGTGGTTTCTTTAGCGCTTTGTGAGCTTTAGGACTGAGATATGCGGGCACGCATTGATCACTTATGTTGATACTTTCCTGCCATTTTCTGGTGAACATGCTGCTTTAATTAACAGTCAGCTCAGACTTTTAAAAAAGCAATCGTCCACTACGCAAAACTGACAGAGGCTGTTTACTGAGGTGTAAACTGCTTCTTATAATGCAGCAATCGAAATTACTATAAAAATAGTTCACACACTCATTTCTCATGATGGTGAGTTGCAGAACCAGATTTTGGCCCAGGCAGACACTCCTTTTCCCTGAAGGAGAAAGGTGCTTCTGACATGCTTTTGTGATCAATGCGTGCCCGCATATCTCAGTCCATTGTTGCTGGTAGCTCTGATTACCTGTCTTGCATCCTGAATGTGCTTCCGGATGACTTCTTTAATTGTTGGGCTGTTTAGTCTCGGTGGATGAAAGAGCAGATCTATATTAGTCTGTAACATTTCATGCAAAACCTCCGGCCACCCTAAGTCCAGATTTGGCGTTTCCACATCTGAGTGCATGGGCCAATATGTCCCAGAGGATGATTTGGTATCCGAGGGATCTTTGATTTCCTCGGTCTGGGTTTGAGGTGGGAGCTGTTCTGCATTTCCAGTGATGAAGAGGATCTCATCTTCTGAGAGAAAGCTCCCGAGCCGTTCTCCTTTTAAGAACTCCTGGTAACTGTCTCTGCCGCCATTCACCAAGCGATCAATTGCCAGCCGATACGACTCCTTATAGTGAGGCTGAATGAAATCCTCTGATTTAAATTCACCTCGCAAGGAGGACAACAGGGAAAACTCTGGAGACTCCATGGCTCCAGACTTTTTTAGTAGGACCTGTAATAGAAAATGACATAATGTTAGAGGATCAGAGAGCAAACAGTGCAACAGGGTGGAACATGTTGACTCATGGCAACCCTAACGAGGAAAGGTAAGCTGTAATGCAGTATGCGGAAAGTTGTTAATGTTAAACTATACTACAGTTTGCATGGAAAGGTCAAAGAGTACATTAAAGGCAGTGTTCTTATATAAAGCAGTAAATTATTTAATGTTCTAGATAGTTTATGAGGTGATGAAGATATTAAAAGGCATGTTTAAAGATGTATTTTAGGCATTTTCCAGGCCTTATAACATATTACAGACAGGAAAGCAGACTCTAACCCGAGCCTCTGATGGAGGCCTCAGCATGTGGATCGCCTTCTCAACCAGGTGAGCTATAGTCCTGGTCAACACATGGTTTGTTTTAATGGCGTGTACAGTTTGCCTCAACAACATATAATCAGTTTTTTACGGCGCTGTTTCGAAACCTGAAAGACTTAAAAATTCACATCAAGGAATTTCCACTGTACAGTTGAAATGTAAATAAAACCAACCTGTTTTCACTTCTGTCACTTTTATCAACGTGAAGACCCAGCATGGTTGGATGGTTAGAAAGGTGTAGTTGTTTTTCACCTGACGTTAAGGTGAGCTCACCACTAGAAAAAGAAATCAGGGGCTGTACAAAGAGCTGTTTACTGATTAGCTAACCAGCATTTCCTCAGTAACACTCAATAATAAGATATGATAAATTACTTGAGAAGAGGGTGGTAAATATCTCATGCTTCAGCATGCCCATGTTACATAAATAACACAAAATAAAATAGCTAAACCAGGAACTACATGATAATTTGCTGTCAGTAGATTTATATTTTAAGTGGTTTTTAATGTACTCTGGTAAATCTGGTCTGTGTTTTACACTTATTTTGGTTTTGAAAGCTGTTTTGAAATACTGAACACCATATCTGCTCCTTCCATGTTTAAATGTGAATCGCTTCAAACTGGGGTGCCCTTTTGCCCCTTTAGAGTTTAGATTGACAGATTGACAGCTTAAAGCTATTGCCCCTGTTAATATTAGTACTGGACAACAGGAAATTAAAAAAAACACTGTAGCCTTTAAAGCCCACGGTTTTCATTAATTCGGTGATCCAGGTGCTTCCCTGTTATATTTGACATTATATGTCCAATCAGGTCTCACCAGATTAATGCAAACACATGTCGGCTGAACAAACGAGTGTTACAATTTAAACATTCAAGCTTTTCACTCTAGTTTCACATTAATGTTGGCTAAGTGTAGAGAGCGTAGAGTCAAATTTGCACTCGCCCTTTTCGCTTTTACTTTCCTCTATGGGAAAGTGTGAGTGGAAATTTTACTTTCACTGCCGACTTTGCTGCAGAGCATGAACCATTGCCAACATACAGATCACCTTATGTACAGCTGTTTCTTATACCTGTTTTCAGGTACCTTTTCAGCTTTCTTGTACATTCTGATTTTATACATGCACAGTTATTTACATTTTGAGTTAGATCTCAGTTATCAAAGCTCCTTCAAGTGTGCGGCTTGGTTGTGCTGCTTTTCTGGTAAACAGAAATGTCAAAAGGCTGAGCAGCTGTTATCGCAACGCGTTTAATCATAGGACACACACCTCATAACAACGGCTTCTGTTTACATTTATTCATAAATCTCCCAGTGTTCATTCATTTGAAAGCGAGGCATTTGATATTCTTACAGCCGCTCGCTGAATGTCTCTCAGCGGCTTCAAAAGCTTAGTGAGCTAGTCACAACAATGTTATCTTATACTCAATAACAGTGACTTACATTTAGATTCCTGACTCTGTGAAAATCCTCTTGACTGCTCCCAGAATATCCCGCTTACATTTACATATTTTCAACTTATGTTCAATGTTTAGAGACTCATGTGTGCCTACTGAAAAAGACAAAGAAGCAGAGGTGTCTCAACATGATAAGCAGTCTGCAGGTTGAGGGTGTGGATTCCAGTTCTAACATGCAAATTATCAGACTCGAAACTCGCTCACAGGGAGTCATAAACCTGTTTCAGACCTAAAGCCACTCCCCTTCTGTATTTGGGTACAAAGTTCAGAATGACGAAAATCTAACATATTGACGGACACAAAGAGGTTTTGTTAATACATCGGGAATAGTGGCACAGCACTCCTCAAAGACAATACATTTTAATTTTAGAGTGTGACTCTATTTATTGTTATGTATGGCAAGGAATGTTGGTTTAAAATCAAATAAAACATTTGCAGTGTCTTCACACAGATTACTCCTATAAACCCATGTGAACTCAAACCAGAAAGATTACTCATTATCTCAACCCCTGTGGCTGAAATGTCAGGGTGGAGCTACTCAAACTTATTTTGCTGACACAAGTCACATCCCTTGTCCTTTTTGGTCAGCACTCAATTGGTAATGAAAAAGGGGCTATTGGGTAACAAAGCCGCAATCACTAAAGCATTTTACCTGACGCGAACGAGTCTAAAGGACAACAACTCAAACAGCCAGTTTAACTTTGTTCAAGGGTTGGGTGACTGTGAAATAATGTGTCTAACATAAACAAGACATCCATAAAAGATGTTTGTTACACAAACATTTACATTTACAGAACCCAAGTGTGTGTCAGACTGAGACAAATGTATTCTCTGTTGCACGTCCGTTTACAGTATACAGTGTGTTATCATGGATTAGGGACGACCTGAATTTCAGTTTAATTACTTTATTTGCTGACTATTAAACTGAAATGACCAAGTGTGACAAGAACAGTGTTCTAACCTCCCTGTCTCGGTGTATCCAAATGCCATTAGCCTCAAAGCACTCAAAGCATTTTTCAGGCCAGTTCAGGTTTATATATCATGCTGAGGACTTTAACAACAATTGATTAACTAACACCACAGGACACCCGCTGAAATAACCATTAAGCCTGTGCCTAGAGAAACAGACTCCCCTCCAGTCCACTCCCTGCAGCCTCAGTTTGAAAAGATGTCTGTTTAATCTCTGGGAAAGTTTAAAAAAAACAGTCTGACATTTTAGGAGGTATCCATTTAACCGATAGTCAAAAGATAGCTTGAATTATCCTTGCAACAGCACGAAGACTGGAAATGGGAGAAAATGGCTCATCCAAAGATGACCTGCCTACCAGCACTCCTAAAACCTATCAGCATCCTAAATGGATTTTTTCCCTCTTAGATGCAAAATAATTATTAACCACAAACACTATTACAGGTCCAGCAGAGTGAAACGATTTAAGCGACTGCTTATTCTGTTTTCAATTAACTATCAATTAACTTTCACAGTGTGCTAAAGCACATTCAGTCCCAACTAGTTAAGACTACCATGGCTTATCAGTTTGCCTAGTTCTTTTTCTTCTCTGCATCACATTCTTTTAATCAGTAAATAAATTCTGTCTTAAGTAACCTGTTCCTAATAATATGACCAAGATATGAAAATCAAGTTCTTTTACATATATGTGTCTCACTGAGCTAATGCTGAGAAATTAAAGCAATAATATGATGATTATTTAAGAGGGACTTGATCAAAAAAGCTCCTGTCTCATTACATTATTCCAAATTACTTGTCTCTGGTCAAAGATTCATGGGAATGTTTGCTCATGAAAAAATGGCATTGTTACGTACAGTGTCGACACTCTGCTCCTGGGTCAGGGCTCACACACCTCGGGTAGTTCTCCAGTATTTCGCTTGAAAAGTAAAACCACAACGAACAAAATCTCTGCACCATTGTTCTGTCTTGAGTCTGGGTGTGTGTGGATTAAGTAACGTATGCAGGGAGTTTCTTTTCCTCAATCGGCCTCCTTGTGAGTCACCTTTTGTGACACCCAATCCCTGTAGTCATGGTCAGTTCCTCAGGCTGTTCTCAGCTCCTGCCGGCAAGTCTGAGCAAGTGGTGTGTTGTTATGTCGCTGTGCAGCGCCTGTAATCAGTTAACTACAGCTCTGACGTCTTGATAAACATCAGTGCTGAAGCAAGAAACTTGTCACTGAGTACGCTCAAAATAAAGAAGGAACTTATTAGTCTTAGAAGCATTTAAAACTCATGCTGCATTCCTATAGCTTTTTGCTCTTTTTGTATTTGAGAGTAAAAAAAAATGTTTTGACTAGTTTTCCATATTGAGAAATCTCTAGAGACTAAGCAGCAGGCTTAGTAGACAACTGCTTAAATCTTAAATCATTCCTCTTGCAACATTTAAATGAATGGTTTACAGTGTAATCAGTATAGAAGTATGCTCACATACAAGGTGAAATCAAAGGTTTCAGCTGTTGTAAATTACAGGTGTAATTATGCATGCTGGATTTGTATCTGTTAAACACGGGAGGAAGTGTTATATCACTGCTTCGGTGCAGAAGCTTGATCACACCTTGTTTAGTGGTTTGGATTTTTAGTTAATAGCCCACACAAATCAAACATTGCTGCCAGGCTAACCACAACTTTAAGCAGGGGCGGAGCGTGGGGGTGGCTTACTGGGCTTAAGCCCGGGTTGTTTTGTCAGAAGCCCGGGGTCTTTTGGAGTGTAATTTTTTCATAGTTAGATGCCTGGCTGACAACTGTATAAAACAAAAAGTACACACAATATTCGAAGCACATAATGCACACAGTGGGAATTTACGACTGTGCGTGAATCCCCCTGATATTGGTATGATCCGAGCTCAGGCACTAAGCAACTGAGCGAGGGGGCGGGGCTGCAGCCAGGTGCTCTTGTGCCTGTGAGTGCGCTGTTGGAGTAACGGAGCCAGCCATACTAAGGACAGCTTAAGTTTGACCAGGTACCAAAGCAAACCATTCATACCGTACAAATGACGGTGAATCACGAAAGATTGATATCAAACTGATCACTTGACCAATATTACGTTACTTGCTCTTCAAGTGAATCAACAAATGGCGAAATGAAAAGCCGAACAAATGCTATTTTTTTTAGAGAGTCTTAGCTTACGTGTGTTTATTTCATATTTTCAGTTCTTACCCTCCCCGACTAAATCGGTTTCAGTTATGTACTGAAATATAAGAATGGACATTAGAGGCTTCTTTCAAAGAAAAAACTCAGGTAAATGTTATTTTATATATTATGCTTTGTATGTTGTTCAGTATATTTCTATGCAAAACAAGAGGGATTTCAGTACACAGCAGGATATTCACATTTGTAACCAGATATTTACACTTTAGGGAGAAAACATAAAACATTTTTACTGTACAACATCAATTTAGAGTAAACTTTTGTTTTAGATAAATATTGAAATATCTTTTGAATTAGTTAAATGTCAGAATAAAGAGAGACAGAGCTTCTATTTTTTATCACTTTCATCAAATTTAGGAGTACATGTACACTAAGTTTATTGTTAATTAATAAGAAAACTCCAGACGATTCCATTCTGAGCTGAAGAAGCTTCTGATAGGTTAGTAGAGTCCATGTGAGTAAATTGGTGGCACAGCTGTGGATGCATATAAGGCAAAACACAGAGCCTGTTTCTTTGACATGGGAAATCAAGAGATGTCAACCAAAACACCAGGAAAGAACTGTGGAGCTCCATAAGTGTGGCTCAGTTTGAATACAATTTGGTGCCATTTGCAATTAAGAAATACAGACAGTTTCTCTCTTTACTCTTAAAGTTAACAAATATGTTTTTTATATTTATCAATCTAAAAAAATAAACATTTAGTCTGATTTGATGTTACAATTAAAAAAGTGTTTGTGTTTTGATCTGAAGAGTATAATATCTGGTTTCAACTGTATATTTGATGATTGTCAGCACAAAGAGGGAGAGAGAGGAGAATGAGGACAGAACAGAGATGAACAAGAGCAGGTGAGACACACATGTTAGTCAAATGGTTGTTTACCAAAAGTATCACCGTATCATAGGTCCTCATGTATCTCGTACCTAGTGTTTCTTTTTAGGTTTGCTATTTTTCAAATTCTATATTTATTAAGTTATGCAGGCTTGTTTGCACAACAAGGCTAAATAATTATATAAACTTTTCTCAATCTAAATAGTGGACTTTGGTAGAATTAAAAAATAAGTGTAGTGCAGGTCTATGATGATTTTTAGTGCTACTATCATCTAGTTCTGATTCTGGTTCTGTCTTGGTTACTGTTGTAGTCCTGTTTTAATTCCGGATCAGTTCTGGGTCTGGTTGAATTGGGGTTTAGTCCTCGTGTCTCGATACAGGCCCGACTTTGTTCTGCCTTGCTGCTTAATTAAAAAACTAGTTTAAGGTGTCCTGTATATGTGATATCTTTTTTTCCCTATATGAAGTCATTCTTTTTTGAACAAAACTCAAAACAGAGCCCAATCTTTCAGTCATTTCTACACCCCCCCCCCTCCCCAAAAAAAAGAAAAAAGAAAAAAAATCCCACATGCATACTACCCTTTAGGGCTAAGCCCCGGGTGTTTCAAATGTCTGGCTCCGCCTCTGACTTTAAGTAACAAATGGAAAAACACAGATGCCGGAAATGCATCCAGACAAACAGTAGTCAGGTTCTTTATGGTCACTCATTATCTGCTGTGGTGGGTAAATACATACTTTCCTGTCCTGACTTGATGGTTCAGCAGTCAGCCAAGGATGTGGATAGGTGGTTCACCCTCCAGCTTTTCATCAAGCCAGCTCAACACAACATATTAGAAATTCAGTTTTGAAGTTACGCTGATACTCATTTCTGGTGCCCTAGCAGAAGCTAACCGACCGTCCACTTCATCCATGAACCAAGCTCTCAAACAGTAAGACAGTCTACTAAAGTGGACTGTATATGAAAAATGGGAATTCAAGATTCAGAGACTGAAAAGTGGAGCCATTGTAACCTAACATTTTTTTTTCTGTTGGCCAGTAGGGGAAGACATATTTGATTTTTTTAAAAGTGCCCAGGGGTGGGATTCTATGGGTGCTGCGAGGCTGTAACTCAGGATGTGGGTCAGGTCCTCTACTAATCAGAAGATAGGTGGTTCAGTCGCTGCCAAAGTATCCCTGGGGCAAGATACTGAACCCCAAGTTCCTCTCCAATGCGTTTATCACAGTGTGAATGCTAGATAGAAAACACTTAGGTAAAGCAAAAAGTGTGTGTGTGGTTGGGTAAATAAGGCATGTTATATAATGTGCACTGAGAGATTCTCAAGGCAGCCGAGAGATGCAATCTCTCCAGGGAGTCCTGGGTGTGCCCTGGGGCCTCCTCCTAGTAGAACATACCCAAAATGCCTTATCTAAAAGGCATCCTACATAGATGCCCAAATCCTATCAACTGGCTTCTTTTGAAGTGTGAGATCATCTTGTGAGACAATGGAACAAAGTGCAGCCAGCGTCCAAAGAAGAGCTTTGAATGTCTTTTAAAAAGACTGGTGAACTATTCCTAAAATAGTTCAGTTAGTTATTCAGACTTTCAAGTTCATTAGACTTGTACAAACTCTGTCTTTGCCTGTGCTGTATTTCCATTTCTGTTTGCATGTCTTAATAAATGGTTTCGCTTAATTCTCATTTACCTAGTGAAATATAAAGAAATGAGGGGTTGCTCAAGACTTGCACAGTACAGCACCTTACAGATATTGTATCTATACACTTTCTAGTCATATATGGCAAAACATAGATTTATAAAATTGTGATATTTTCTTAATTTAAAAAAAAAACCCTTTGCTTTTATATCCCGCCCATCAATGAACGGGAGGGCAAAGGCTGAAGCTTTTACTGACAACAGAAACTGAGAGAAACTAATGGGGAGAGATGTGGGAAGACTTACATATTATGTGCATTTTTCTGTAGTCTAAAAAAGAAAAACACATTCAAACAGTGTAGTTGAATTTGATGGAAATTGAAGACTATTTTTTAATTTAAAGGCACTCTACAGCACACAAATCAGTGCCAATTAGTTTCATAAAATGAGAATCCAACATGTTTTCCACTCAAGTTAAAGACGATGTCAGCTGATGGCACTTATTTTAAACCTTTTTTCTTGTGTTTTTTTGTTTATTGTTTCTGAATCACTGAATCACATACCCTTCCCCATCCCGAACCCACCTAGCCCTAACCTCCCACAGTAATGAAGGAAAAACTTCTCATTTGTGGTTTTCCCTTCTTCAAAACAATGTCTTCACACTGTGTCTAACTCAAACAGAATGCATTGTTCTTCAGCTTGTTAGATAGCACTGAATCAAAGCCCCACACTGGCATTCAGATGTCAGTTAGAAAGTCCATTTTCATGAGGCCGTGCTAACACCCGCAGTTCCTAATTTTTTCCCCCATTGTGTTCACATTCAGTGCATGGTCATGTCTGCACTGCAGCTTTCTCTTTTCACTTTCAGTGAGTTTATCGTTAAAAAGTAAAAGTAAAATTAAGTACATGACTCCGTGTCAGTGCCCAGCCTTTAACATGGGCTGAAAAACTGCCCCTGGTGGTGTCGTTACAGTGAATCACAGAAAAGCAATATGGCTGCATTCTTACTAGAAATAGCAGTGCTTGAAAAACAAAGCATTCCCTTTTTTTGAACATTAAAGTACTCATTAGCATTCGTGCATAAAGTCTAACAAAAGATTTTCCACTGTCATCTCAAAATGGTCTGACATCTGTGCCAAATACTTAAGATATAAACTGTTTCCTGGAAACAAGTACAAACACAGA